GGCGGCGGGCCCGCGGTGCTGGCGGCCGGGGTGTCAAGGGGGCGGCCTCGGGCGGCAGGCGGCGCGCGGCGCGGGCCGAGGCAGTTGCGCCGCGGCGGCGGGTTCCCTCGGCTCACTTGTTGAGCTGGCTGCACTGGCGCTCCCACCAGGCGCGCAGCGCCGGCGCGTTTGTGGCCTTGCTGTCGACCAAGAGGACCTTGTTGTACTCATCCGTGATCACGCCGATCTCGTCCAGCTGGGCGGGAACTTCGATTGGCCGCGACACGGCGTGCTGCTGCACGGTGACCGAGGCGGCGGCCACTGCTCGGACGGGGGCGCGGGGCGCGCTGGCAGCGAGCCTGGTGCAGGCGAGGTACGGGGGGACCCGGCGCCGCGCCAGCAGGGCGGCTGGGCGCATCATGACGGCGTCGGCTGCAGGGCCTCCAAGGCCAAGCTCCGACGCCTTGGAAGGTCCTCAGCTTGGCTTTCGGGCAGGCACGCGCCTGCTTAGCATGGCAGCTGCGGGTGCTACTGTCGGCACTGCGGGAAGAACTGATTTACAGATCTGCTCAAAAAGAGACGCATATCATGTGCGCGGAGGTCAATTGCCTAAAAGTGCTCTTTCAAATACCGTTAATATAAAACACGAGGCAGCCGATCGCGATCACCGCTCACTACGTTATCGTATTCCAGGGGCTTCTGCACACGGTTGTGAGACGTTTCGGCTGCGAGGTGAGATGTCTAATCAAATAGGTGCACCCGGCTGTATCCTCGCCCGCGTGTGTGCAGGCGCTCGTGCGCGCAACGCTGCGCCCCCATGCACGGTTCAGTTGTGTGCACAGCACAGCACAGTTGCGCGCAAGGCAGCAGCGACCCTGATCGGCCTCATCTCTTCGCACACCCCTGAACAGCTGTTCAACGCAATCAGTGCTGCGGCGGGGGGCAGCATGCTGTTCACAGGGGACAGCAGAGTGCGCAGGCTGGGCGCAGGCAGCAGCAGGGCCGAGGCGGAGAGCCGAGAGCGGCTGCTGGAGCGCACCCGGCGCGAGCGGGAGCAGCGCGCGCAGGAGCGGCTGCGCGCGCGTGCTGCCACGACCATTCAGGTGGGCGCATGACAACAGTGGCCCCCTTTGCCCATCCTGGATGACGGGGCGCATAGCATGGGGCCGCGCACCGCAATTCAGCATGCAGCAGGGGCATCTCTTTGCCCTCCCTTGCTCTCACCCACCGCCATGCGCGCTTTTGAACCCTCCACACCTCAAAAATGACGGCAGGCCAAATGGCGGCAGTGGCGCACGGTGCGCAGCACCGCGCAGGAGTTGCGGGAGGAGTGGGCCGCCCGTTGGGACGACGCCGCCGCGGCCGCAAGGTGCGCGGGCGCAGCGAGCTCGACTGCCGTCTCGTCGCGGATCGCTCCGGGCTTGCAATGCCGCGATCCATCCGCCGTGCCAGGCGCATGCGCGCCCCATGGCATGCCGCATGCGAGGCTCCGAGGCCGGGTCGAACCCTAGCAAACGTAGCCTCCGCATGGCGCGCCCCTGTTGCGAATGCAGCCCTCTGTTTTTGGCGGGTTTGGTCAGCGATGACCGATGCCTGGCGGCGCTGCTGCGTTTCTATGATCCACGGCGGGGCGACGACTGGGGGCGGCTCGGGGCGGCGTGCGGCGTGCTGGTTCGCAGCAACGGCGAAGGTGGGCTCGCGCCTTCCATGCGTGCCGCGTGTGATTGGGGTCAGTTGAGCGGTGATGCGTTCCCAGCTATTTGTTGGTAAAGCCCCAGCAACCTGATCGAGCCCCAGCGACCTCCTGCAGATAGGGTGCTGACAGAGAGAAACGTACGTGCATTTGTTCCCTGCGCTACTCTCGTCCACAGGTTTGGTGGCGCTCCTACAGCAGCAGCAGCAGCAGCAGCAGCAGCACCAACACGGGCATCAGGACGTCCTCCTGCGCGTGCGTCAGCTAGCCTTGTGCTGCCTCAAGTCGCTCGTCCACAACCGTGCTTCGCTGCAGCGGCTGCTACAGAGCCCGCGCGGCGGCTGCACGGGCTGCAGCGCGGCAGAGGCGGCGGCGGCGGCGATGGCGGAGTGCGCGCTGCTGCTGCTCACCCCGGAGTTATGGCAGCGCGCCTGCGGCGGCTCAGCATGGGGCGCCGCCCAGTTCGCGGGCACTCTGGAATTCTTGGCCAGGCGCGGCCCGCTCCTCTCGCTGGTTGCTGAGCTGGTGGCAAGCCTGCCGCCGCGCGCCGCCGCGGGCGGCGCGCCCGCTCTTGGCGAGGCCATCGCGACGCAGGCAGCCGTGCGCTGCATGGCGCTCCAGCCGCAGCCGCAGCGGCTGGGGCTCGTGGCGCTTGTGTGCGTCCCCGGCCTGTGGCAGCGCTGCCCCTCGCTCGCGCCGGCAGGATCGCAGCTGGCGCTGCGGGCGCTGTCGGAATTCGGCCCGCTGCCGGGCGCAGCGCAGGTTGCCGAGCTGCTGCCGAGCGGTGGCCGGGACGGCAGGGGCAAGGGCGCGGCGGCCGCGGCGCTCCTGGCAAATCTGGTGGCATTGGGACAGCGGCTTGTGCCCCAGCAATCGCAACAGCAGCAGCAGCAGCAGCAGGCTTTGTTACAGGCCCCACCAGCGGCGCAAGTTGTGGCTGTGCTGGTGGCGCTCCTGGCCCTCGTGCCTGAGCGAGCTTTGCCGCGCCACCTGCAGTGGGAGCAGCAGCAGCAGCAGCAGCAGCAGCAGCAGCAGCAGCAGCAGCAGCAGCAGCAGCAACATGTGTTGGAAGCAGCACCCGACGCGGAAGAGCCGCACGCCGAGAGGTGGCTTCCAGCAGCCGCGGCGGCGGCGGACGGCGGGCGGTTGGTTTGGCCGACGGGTGGCGTGCAGCCCATGGACCCCTTGGTCTCGCGGCAGCTGGCGGATCTGGGTGGAGACAGCGGGCTCGCCCTCCTGGGGCGGCTGGTCGCAGCCAGCCTCCCGGCCGCGTCGGCCGCCGAGGCTGCTGCGGCGCCGCCGCCTGCGCCGCCGCACGCGTGGCGCGTGTGCCAGCTGATGTGGCTCGTGCTGAGCCTCCTGCCGCAGGTCGCGCGGCTGCGAGCTCTGCTGAGGCTGAGCGTCTCGACGCAGCTGCCCGCCCGTGTATGGTTCAACCTGCTGCGGCCGCTGCAGCGCAGCGGCGGCGGCCCGGCGCGCGCGGCGATGGGCCCCCAGGCACCTGCAGGGCCCTCCTTCGGCAGCAGCTCTGGCATCGGTGTCGGCGGGAGCGCTCCCGTGTTGACTGCGTTTGACCGGGAAGTGGCGGCGGACGGCGGCGCGGCTGCGGGGCCCTCTGCGTGGGGCGACCCTGGGTGGCAGCTGCCCCTGGTGGTCCTGAGCCAGTCGCTCGGCAGCTTCATGGCAACTGCTGACGCGTCGGACATGCAGACAGCCCTGGCGCTGTCAGAGGTGTACGACGCGGCGGCGCCGGCGCAGGGCCTGCTGCCTTTGCTCAGGGAGGCGCTGTGGCAGGTGAGGGGGCGGGCGTGCTGTGGCAGGCGAAGGGGCGGGAAGGGCGTTGAGGATTGTGCGTGCGGGAAGGTCGCTGCAGTGTCCTCTGTGTGGGCACAAACGACACTCGATGCGAGGCAACGCATTGCACAGTCTTGCGATAGGTCTCAATCCATCGTCTCCACACAAAAGTCATCAAGAGCCTGTCAAAATCAACCAACCCCCGCAGTCGATCGTGGCAGAGGGCGACCAGCCCGCGCCCACGCCCGCCGCGGCTGCGCTCCGCCGCGCGTTTGCATCCTCTGGCGGCGCCCTCCTGGGCCAGCTGGCGGAGCGCAACCACCGGCTGGAGTTCTGCCCCGCCTCCGCCTTTGTCGCAGAGGGCTTCTCGGCCGAGCGCTTCCACTCTGAGGCCGCGGCCGTGCAGCTGACGCTGGGCGCGATGCAGGGCGACAGGCAGCGCCTGGCCAACCTGCTGCGCAGCGCGCCGGGGCTCGTGCCGTTCCTGGTGCGGCGGGG